CATCGACCTGGAGGCCTGCACCGTCAACGTATATGACTCAATGGATAAAAAAGAGTCTACGTTTGACAAGGTTTTCGAACTTATAGACAGGTACCGTCATAAGTTCCTTTGTTAATTAAGAAAATCTTGTTATGTTAATTGCTACTACGAATCATAGCTTTAAACTCCATGTAGGGCTTGGTATCGGTTCCGTCATTTGGTCCGCGGCAAATGGAGAGAAAGACTTAGGCGGAAGTTCAAATTTCCTGTGAGTATACATGCTCTACATTTATATTTCTCCGATTCAAATACATACAAGTGTATATTAATTAGATCTCTCGTTGTTTGTCATTTATTTGTAGTGCGCAAAGCAAAAGCAGGGAACTAACTTGTGCGGCTATTACGTGTGCGAGTATTGCCACTGCCTTGCAGACCAAATCATCACCACAAGAGAGCTCGATGTACGTACAAATAAATTCAAAATTTCATTACGTAGCGATTTCTTGTTTAATTACTAATCAATTTCATACATTCATATAGTTTATTCGTATGAGGGATAACCTGACCACACACAAGGAATTTATCGCGGCGGTTCAAGAACAACTCATGGGATTCATCAACGAAGAAATCCTTGATCCCAAGGGTGAATTCTACTACGACGGAAACACAATTCACCGGTCCTTAGCTTCTGAGCTAGCAGCGAGTACTACTACGTCGAAATCGTAGCTAGCTAGGACATATAATGGATTGTAATTAATACATGACTACATATGTTTCTATATGCATGTGTACACATTTTCTATAATGTAAATATATTTTGTTCATATATATATCTATATACATATGCATTTGCATAACATATATATGTATAAATACATATATATATGTATGCATATATATGTATTGAAACATATATATGCATGGTTTATATATATATATATATATATATATATATATATATATATATATATATATATAAACCATGCAGCAACAGGGGCATGCAAAAAAAAAAGGTCAGCTCGATCTTTAGTCCCGGTTGGTGTTACCAACCGGGACTAAAGATCGATCTTTACTCCCGGTTATTTCACCCGGGACTAAAGATAGCGATCTTTAGTCCCGGATTGGTACTCCTGGTTTAGAAACCGGGACTAAAGGGGGGTTACGAACCGGGACTACAAAGGGTTTCTCCACCAGTGATGCCGATGAGGTTGAGTGCGTCGGAGCAGAAGAGAATTGCCATGTGGTGGAGCTCCCTTCAGCATGTCTTTGGATTGATGTTCTTAGTGTTAAGTTTTAGGGAGTAGATACCATATGTAAGTCGTCCATTTGGATGATTGGATCACCACAAGAAACTTAATATTAGCTTTTAACAAAATGCTAGGAGCTCAGATCGATTTATATGTTGTTGGGCCGTTCTTTTGAGCTAAGAGATGATAAATTATTATTATAAGGACACTTCCTAAGTTATTATCTTCATCAGCATTTCTTAAAGAACTTTTTAAAACCAACATTTCTAATAATTTAATTATTTATTTATGCTCTCGAATAATTGTCATATATAAACTCAAATTCAGCTAGGAGTATTAACCATCATCCGTCAGCACTTTCAAACGGCATGTACCCAGTGATTACTGGGTGTTGAACTATGAGGCTGGCAACCAATGAATTTCCAGATGCATGGAAGCGTATGGTGCACGTAGTTTGCCTATAACTTAATAAGTAAGGACTTGGGTTTACCATGGTATATGGATTATCCCTTTCTCCTTTGCCATGTCAAAGAAGATGTTTCCGTCTATATTTCTACTAATATAATCTCCATTAAAGATAGACAAACATTTTTTTCCGTGGAAATATTCAATATCGGACGACTGGGGATAACTACAACTTGGACGTTTAATTATATGACTGCCGCTACTTGGTAATTGCAAAGTACGAGCGCGTACAATTGATCACAGTAGAGATGTACTCCATCTATCCTATAAAAAAGTTAATCTAGTACCAAATGTGATATATCTTAAAACCTATGAATCTGGTGTATTCAGATTTGTAGTACTAATTAAGATGTACCCCTCCATTCAAAAGTATAAGACCTACTCCCTTCATCTAATTTTGATAGTCATATTTTCAAATATAAAAAATTTATTTTTGATAGGCATATTTCAATTCAACAACCTATAATCTTAATGACTTTCTTGTATTTAATGCACGACTCTCCATTCTTCCACACAAGATTGGCTATATGGGTATCGAGAAATGTAAACATTAATGAATCGCTTGTTTATAAGGAATGACTAGTAGCATATTTAAATAGATGATAAGTAGAATTATTTATCCTTGGTCTATGTGTCAAGATGAAATATGACTATCAAAAATGGATAGAAGGAGTATTTCTTTTTGCACAAAGACCAAGAAGTAATAAATTCATTCACCATGTGATAACACCAATGAATATGTAACCAATAAGTACTAAAATAGTTTTTTGATTCCGATCAACAATTTAATTTAGCACATAGTGACTATAAATAGGACTTAAACTTTTAGAAAAAACTAAAGAATGAAATAGGTTTTTGACTTAATTAATAAGCTGATTTTTATGGGACGGAGGAAGCAGCATGTAATGACATCTCGCCAATCTAGATAGGATGCGCCCACGTACGGAGAGATTTTCCACAGCGTACAGCCTACGTGCCTATCTGGCAATCCATAGCAGCTTCGCAAGCGTATAGCTCCACGGACGGATACGAATGATTTATTAATTACGCAGCTGCAAGTCAAGATATTGTCATTGATCTCAAACGTGCTCCTGCACTCCAGCTGCCTATATAAACCACCCGTTCTCCCAATCTCCCATGCAGCTAGCAAGCGAGCAAATTAAACACAACACACAAAACAGCAGGACGTACGTAGCTATTGCTAGCTAGCTAGCCCAGCCAAGCACCGATCGATCGAACTGATGGCGGCCAAGGTGGCGACTATGTTGGCTCTGGTGTTGGGCCTCGCGCGCGCTCCTCCTCTCCTCCGCCGGCCCGGCGGCCGCGCAGAACTGCGGCTGCGCGGCGAACTTGTGCTGCAGCCAGTATGGTTACTGTGGCCTGGGCGGCGATTACTGTGGCATGGGGTGCCAGTCCGGGCCGTGCTACAACAGCAACGTTAACGGTGTCGGCGGGGGCAGAAAGGCCGGCGTTGGCGTCATGGAGAACAACAACCTCAACAACTAGCTAGTCGATCCGCCGTCTGCGCCGGTCAATTACTAAGGATAAATAAACAGCCGACGCGCAGCCTACTCTCTCTGAACACAACCTGCAAATAAGGTGTTGTAATACCACTACTCCGCCACCACCTAGTACTATGTGTATGCGATCTCTCGATCGATCGATCGTGTATCCTCTAGAGGGAAATAAATCGAGGGACTAAGTAAAGTAAATATAATAACTGCAGATAAACTCTCGTGTATTGGTACGGTGTATGTGGTGCATGCCTCAGTGCTAGCTCGCGTGCATATGCTGCAGGGAGCCATGGACGAGGCAAATTATCGTTCCATTCCAACACGACGACGTACGTACCGCTCCCTGGACTGGAGAATCTCGTCGTAAACGTATTCGAGATCGCAGAGGTCAGTTTTAAGTGCGAACTGCGCGCAACTTTCGTTCTGAGATCGATGAAAGATAGAAGGAAAAATAATTCCGCAAAATAATATGAAATGAAAAGTTAATACTTCATCTACTAATAATATTCATTGATTTAGTAATATCAAATATAACTCGGTTTCTCAAAACAAAAAAAAAAGAATCTTCAAATTTGAATCGATTCACGGGAGAAAGAGATCCCTCAGCCACAGTAATAATGAGTACCAAAACTTCTTTGAAAACAGCTCCAGATCTAGATCATGTCCATGCTAGATTTCAAATTTGTATGTTAAATTATAGTTTTTAAAATTTTACGTTGTTTTAAATGGAAACAAAATTATCATCCAAATGCTGTCAATATAGTCTCAGATCGATTTGTTTGAAAAAATAAAACCAAGGTGTACCGCGTTAGATCAAATTTGCTTACATGGATTATTTTGGTTTGGGTTCACACGGATTAGCCAAGTTATTATACCCAAACGGGCAATTTATAAGTTGGTGTACCTATTTGTACCCATCACACAAGTTTATGTACTATGAATACTGTTTACTCTATACGCAAACTACAAAATTTCAAAACACAATAATACAAGGTAACTACGCCACCGTCCATCAACACAACCACACCCTTTACAAGCCATTCACCAGTGTATGAGAGACCACCAAAAAGGTAAAGAGAGAGCTATAACCTCAAGGACCATTATTTCTCCCCGCAAAAAAGAATCATTATTTCAAATAACATCGTCATGATCAACTCCACCCAAACAACGATGACATGGGCACGGAACTCATGGCCAAACATATCCCATGTATCAAACTGTCAAAACAAGATGACTAGGGGACCAACATTAGATGATCCACCATGACCACCGTCAAAAGACAAAGATAATGAAAGATGGATGAGAAAAAAAAAACTAAGGAGCCACCTCCCTTTGTGTGTACAACTATACATCAGTACATCACCATCGTATCTCTACTAATTAAAAGAGTCGTCTTCCCCTACCTCCACATAAAAACCTACCTTGAAAACCGATTTTTTTTTAAAAAAAAGGCAATAGCCCACTGGACCCAAATCCTCCTAAATAAAAGAACCGTTGCAACGCACGGACCTATAAGTAGTCCAAACAAAATCAGAGATTTCTTTTCTTTTTCTTTTGGAATAAGTTCACCAGAGGTCCCTCAACTTAACACCGAGATTTTTTGATATTTCTTAACCACAAAATCAGAAATATGTACCCCTAAACTCACTTAAATCGTTCAAATGTGGTTCCATGGCAGTATTTTTGCCCAGTTTACTGACGTGGCATCTGATTCAGAAAAAAAATAAAAACTTCTTTTTCTTTTAGGGAGAGGAAGGCCTAAGTTGGGTACCAAAGTACCAAACACAAACACGAGTCGTGGCCTTGGCCCATGATAATCGAGGGACCCGCAGCGGATGAGGAGAAAACACACAAGTCAATCCCCCGATTCCACCTCCGTAATCCCCGTTACCGCCGTGGTCGGAGCCGCCGAGCGCCGCCGTCGCGCCTCCCTCCACCGTCTTCCCACGCCGCCGCGCGACGGCTGCGGCGGTCGTCTTCCCCATTCGTCCCATCGATCCTCCTCCGGCTCAGTTCCACAGAAGCGCCACCTCATCACGAAGGTAATTCTTCTCTCGGAAAAGCACTTTCTCCTTCCGCCATATTTAGCCGGTGTAGACGGGAGAGATCCATCCGGACTTGTCCAATCTGTCCTGTTTGCTGCGGATTCTGTTTGGTAATTGATGTACTCCCTCCGTTTCACAATGTAAGTAATTCTAGCATTTTCCACATTCATATTGATGTTAATGAATGTGAATATGAGAAATGCTAGAATGACTTATATTGTGAAACGGATGAAGTATTTACTAGTAACTAGCTGCTTATTTGAAAGGGAAAAAAAAGTTGAAGCTGATCCCCTATGCCGCATGTTAGGGCCCGCCCCTGTGGCGATTTAGTGCTATTTTTGCTTTAATTCGCTTTTGTTGTTTGCATTGGATTGGAATTTTAACTCTGTAGTCTTCACATCATCTCAGCCAATGCTCTCCCTTGGGACTTAACTCTGCTGAATAGTGGATTTTTTTTTTCCATTCGAGAACCCTTGCACACAACTCCCATGTCATGATTGAGGACATACACTGCTATATACATTTACCTCCTATATCAGACTAGCATCAGGGGATAGATTCAGCTTGTTTTTTTACTTTTTTCTGTAGAAGATTTGTCACTTCTGATGAATTATCCTGAACAACGACTGCATTCTTCCATCTAATTCGGTATGCACTTACATTTCCTATTTTAATTCTGCATATTTGTCCCCAGGCAATTTTACAGTTCGAACATTAGGAAGCATGAGCTATTTCCAGGCTACAACATACAAGCCTCATAATGGGATCATTGTGGACAAGGTAGCAATAGGTCTTGGGAGTACTTGCAAATTGCTTCATGAAAGGGCCAAATGTTCGTATTCCAATAGATTCATCAAGCTTCAAGAGCAAGTATACCCAAGGCTTCTTCTTGTTGCTGCTTGCCATAACAGGATTGGTCCTGTGTATGCCTCAAGTGGGAAAGGAAACTCTGAGCGTGTCAATGATGTATGTTGCTCTTGTTGCTTTCATTGATCACTTACCTTCCATGAATTTATCTTTCTAATTTTTATCACTTTTAGCTGTCACCACGGAAATTCACAGTTGTATCAGAGTATTTATTTCTTTACTATTCTCTGCTTGATGTAATTCAAGCTGCCAAGCCTTTTCTTGCTTATGTTATACTTTTTGCATTTGAAATGATAATAGAAATTTTGAGTGATTGTTCATGTCATGGGAAATAAGGGTTTGCCTTGTCATTTCATTTCATATCAAAATTATAAGTTGCTCCTGTAGGACCCAGAGAGCAGCTTAATAGAGAGAAGTAGCAGTGAGGGCGCTAAGATGAAGGAAAAGGCTGAATGCCATAGGAAGTTCTCGATGAATAATTCACTTACTTCGTTGCTGCTGATTCGACAGTGGTGGATCATAGCTCAAAGAACAAGCTCTTGTTGTAATCATGCCTTGGTTTTCGCGGGAGGGGGGGTTGTTAAATTTGATTTGGTTGTGTGCTCTGTTGGAGTTTTTCTGATAAGACAGTGAAGGAAAAGTTTAGTTTCTTCAGGGAAGTATGATAAGAAATAAGCATATAGTATAAAATGCTGTGTCACAACTATATGTTTGATTGGATTTCATGCATCAGACAATTTATATGACGGAGCTATTTTTTTAGTTCATTAAGGTTGCACGCACATGATCTATAGAACCATGAGCTAAATTTGTTGTTGCTTTCTTTTAGCCCTTCTCCATGGAATCTTTGAACAAAGCTATAGCTGGAACTAAAAAGCAATGGCCCATACAAGATATGCTGATAGATCAAATTTCTAAGATTAGAGGGTCTGGCTCTGGTGGAAATGGTGGTGGTAATAAAAACAGTCATGAAGGCAGTGGTGGTGGCTCAGAGGACGAATCTTTGACGGAGTCATTATATGAAATGGTCCAAGTTTTGTTGGCAACTATTGCCTTTATACTCATGGTAACTTCTGATTCATGTTTCGTTGTCGTTGTCCTTCATTCGGTAAATGCTGTACTATTGTATAGTGGTTGACATTGATGGAGTTCTATGTCTATACACCACTTTCCAATCTCTTATAATGGCTAGGCTACTGTGTTAAGCAAGCAGTTAGATTATCTTCTACGCTTCTAGGTGTTGTTTATTCATAAGGAGTGGAATATGTGCATTGATGTACTGGAAACATTATGTTTTCAGTGTTTAAGCATCCTTATTTACTTATGTAATTAGCTGACTTAGGATGTATAGCATGGATTATTGGAGCGCAGAATAGTAAAATTTGCATTCGCCGTTTGAGTGTATAATGCTTACTTTTAAGCTTACAATACCACTCGTTTGGTTGCAGACTCATGCATTTATTATCACCGAGACTGTCCTTTTGTATTCACCAATAATTTTTTTTTACCTGTTTTGGCTTACATATAGTAAGTAAAAAAAAAAAGAAGGCATATAGTAAGTAAAAAGATGGTACTATCCATGGTGCTAGAATAGATTACCAGGGATTCTGAATGGTGTGACGTCAATAACATGGAAATTACCTCATTACCATATTCATTATTAATTGTCTAATTATTCGATAATTGTGCTTATGTTTGCCAAACAAGTAGTACACATATATTCCGTTTCCTCCTAAATATTCATGATATGAACATATTTATTTGCTTCTCTTGTTCATCAACAATAACAGTCTCCTCACAGGCACTTTTTAAATCACTCCTTTATTTGCTCCATTGTGCAGTACATCCATATAATAAGAGGAGAGGAGTTATACCGCCTTGCGAGGGACTACACTAGATACCTGGTTACTGGTAAGAGAACTTCCAGACTGAAACGCGCCATGTTAAACTGGCACAATTTCTGTGAGGGCATCACCAACAAGGATAGCGTGCAAGAGTCAACATTTGAAAGATCAACTTCTGAACCAATGTGGTGGCAGCAGCCCCTAAAGTTTGTCCATCGCATTGAGGAACTTTACAGAGGCTATTTTCGCCCACATGCCCAGGAATCATAGTTCTGATGATTGAGGATCCCTTTGGACTCTTCTCAAGATTTCAGTGTATGTTGTAACCGTGCATAGGTAGGCACTAGTTGCATGGACGGTGCAGTGAAGCGCATGGAGGAAACTAGACGGTCTGTTCTTTACTGCATTCAGTTTTTCTTGCGTAGTGCAGCTGAATACTACGTTATATATTGTCTGTATTGTTCATTACAGAACATAAAGGAAGGTGATAGTTCGTCTGGACAATTTTGCCGTTTTTGAAACCTCGCTGCTATGATGTGATCGTCTGCCGGTCAGTTAGGTGCAGGTGACAACTTGAATGCTGCATCTGATTCATCATAACTACAAAGAGTACCAGCTATACCCAATGAATGCAGCAAAAAATGTACCTGTAAGCTGTGGTCACTGTAAGCTTTGTAAATTTTGTGTTCTATGTTTTGTCCAACTCCCCATGTTGGTTCTTTGTTGGCCTATCTGAGCTATCTAGAGTGATTTATGGGAGCAACTATTTCTTCCAACCTGGAACATGAAACATCCATCTTTGTCATTGTCGAGACGGGTGCAATTTTCTAATGGGATAAACTTGTCATCATTTTGCCGACGCGAGGAATAATCCAATCGCTTAAACCTGAATTTGACGACAGGGGTTGTACCTTCCTGATAAGCAATTCTGGCGGTTTGCTAAGTACTCCAGTCAGGAACACATACGATCAACCCAAGTAGTTCCGGTCAGTCCATAATTATTTGGAAATGGAAAGAACCAAAAGAATACTTAGCTTGTCTTCTAATCAATCATAGTAGCTATAGTCGCCTAGTCATAAACAACAGATCAGGAGGCTCTTGAACCGTGATTCCCGGAGGAATGATCCGGCTGAAAGCAATGAGCCTGATTAGAGGACGTCGACCGGACGAACACAAGCTAAGCACATGGGATCAGAATCATCAGATCGCCCCCAAATGGGCCAAACTAATCACTCCATTTGCGTAGGCGTGTAGGCTTTGTGACTCGAGCTGGGCATGATTAGATTTAGCCACCCGCAGACACACGAGTACCCGACTAGTGTCCTGCCCTGAACTGGCTGAACAGCTGAACTGTCGTCTACCGCGACACAAATCGCGGCGCAGACGCAGAGATTAGAAGGTAGATTTGGTCAAGCCGCAATTGTACTGGTTTGATTACTCGCAGCCGAGATCGAGCTGAGCAACAGCCAATAGCGACATTTGTATATACCCGTTGAAGCTCGATGGCTTGATCAGTGGTTCAGCTGTTGTGCTACTATTACTCCTAGTACGTACTCCCTCCGTACTGTACTCCCTCCGTATTTTAATGTATAATGCTGTTGACTTTTTAATCAACGTTTCACTATTCGTTTTATTTAATTTTTTTTTGAAAAATATGAAAATATTTATGTCATGCTTAAATGATGAGGACATCCTCCACTATTACCCGCTGGCAAAAACGCAAAAGTTGGACGACGACCGTGCGAGCCTCTGACCTTGCTTAGCTTGGGAGGAGGAAGCCACCTTAAAAGGGAGAGTCACCCTTCCCCTATTAGACTAGTCTTTTAGGTAGATTGGACCTTTCTCCGAGTGGGTGTGCCTATGAACTGTTGGGGTCCGAGCAACCTGAAGTTATTGGACCTCGGCCAACCCCACCTGGGCCGGATTGTTATCATTAAAGAACATTTGATGATGAATCAAGTCACAATAAAATAAATGATAATTACATAAAATTTTTGAATAAGACGAATGGTCAAACGTTGGACGAAAAGTCAACGGCGTCATACATTAAAATATAATTACTACATTAGTTTATCGCTGTTCTGGAAAACCGTTGACATATGCCGAATTTCAGATATGCTAAGTAAGATGACCGTTTCGCCCATGCAGGACAGCTCTAACGCGATGATGCACCGAGTAAACAAATTGCCGGTCATGCTGCCTTATAATTCATACATACACACGCAGGCACAAGTAACAAAAGTAGCGTACTGCGGCGCAGATGATTTAATCAGATACGGAGTACTACGAATGAAAACCCCAAGTGGGAGAAAAGAAATTACCAGCCCAGAGAAAGGGCGAGCAGGTTGCCCAGTAGGCCAGTAGGAGGAAAGCGAAGCGCGCGCGCTCGGCGACGAGGTAGACAAAGAGATAAAAATCTCTCTTTCGTTGGGTGACCCGTGCAAGGCGGTGGAAGCGCGTGGACCCCGTCCCGGCCCCGGCCCAGGGGCGAAACCGTCGCTTCGTGTGGACTCATGCATGGATGGCGTATTTGCCGTAGGCCCACGGCGCGCCGCGCGCGGCGAAAAGGATCGGGGAAAACGATAACTGTTCGCGTCGCCGTCGCGGTGGTGGCGCGGACGGCGACGTCGCCCGCGCGGGCGGGGCTCGTGGATCCCTGTAGGCTGTAGCCGTAGGACAATCCTGCGCTGCGCTTCTCCGCGCGCAGCAGCAAAGTTGTCTACTAGGAATGCAATAAATTAAACTGCAGCTATTTAGTCTCTGTAGATGACGGCGATACTGGGATTTGGCACGACCGCACGACGGGCTGCCAGTGCGACGTCACAGTGGGTGCACTGCTCGATCATGTGAGGCGACCGAGCTGCATCCGCCGGCCCAAGTGAGCTAGCGACGACGTGAAATTCTCCATATGCTGAAACAGTGAAACTTGTTGTGACGTGCGTTATGTCATAGTAGTTGATACATTGTTTGATCGAAATTTTCAACTCTCTGCAGGATTATCGATCATGACAGGAGAACCTGATAGAAAGGAAAAAGTCACGGCGATTGAGCGGAGAATTGAAGATGCAATCCCGTTGGCCTTGTCAAGACAAGCGTCCTGCAGCCCAGTTAACCGACCAGTTCTAGATGTTTGAATAATTGAAAGAAAAGAAGGTTGACCCATTTATTAAAGTTGACGATTTTTTTTTTCGTGTTCGTAAGGGCTGCCCTTGGCCGTCTAGGCGTAAACACATTCTGCGCCATATGTATGAACCAAATAGATCATAGTGTCATTCGTCCTGTTTGGAGAACTAGCTAAAAGTTATTTTAAGAGCTATTTTTTTTAGCACAAGGAAATAGTCCTCCAATAAAATTGCCCTAAGTTGTTTGGATCCAAGGGTTATTTTGAGATTATTTGGCCTTTAAGTTACTTCCCATGGAGAGAGAGATAGAAAAGACTTCTTTTTCAGTGGGCCCCACCCGAAATAGCCCCAATTAGCACCTCTTGGGTGGGATAGTTTTTTTGGATGGATTATTTTCAAATAGCCCTCAAATAGCTCACAATTTTGGATCTTTTTGGGCTATTTGAGGGAGGGCTAAAAAATATCCCTTTGATCCAAACAGGGCCAATGATGATTGAGAAGAGTTCAGGGCTTCAGGCAGTGAGCATGATGCCATGACCTGGCATGATACCGCAACTGATACACGGGTACCGTGTTCTGAGCTCTGAGCCATAATGGATCCGGACCCTCCCCCCTCCCTCCCTCCCTCCCTTGTGAAAATCCCTAGTTTCCTTAACGCCCACAAGCCGTCGCCATCAAATCCCTATAGGCATCCAAGCACAAGCCCTAAGATGTCACATAGAACTAAATAATGAGGTGAAGGAGAGAAGAAAGATGAGAGAGAAATAGTCACCTCTCATGCAAGAGGTAGCCCCTACACAAACTTCAAAAAATATGTGAGAGTGTTAGAGATATTGAGTATTGTGTGGTAGAGGCAATCTATTAGTGCAGGTACAATAGCAGACTATTAGCTAGCTATAAACATATTTTAATGAGATAAAAGATGAGAGAGAAGAGCAGCGGGCTACAGATCTGTAGCCAGCTGCAACACGGACTCCAAGACGCGGTGTGTGTATAACAAGTGGGACCATATATTAATAGTATAGTAAGCAATTGTTGTATGAATTGTCTATTAGATTGGCTATAGATGAATTGGAACTAGTAATGGGCTATACTATTAAACTTGCTCTTATACATGTTACCTCTTACTTTTATACACTATGTATGAAATTAGATTTGGTAATCACCTCTCCATAAAACTTGCCCTAAGTCCCTAACCCTTGTTGTGTCTTGATTACTTGCCTCCTCCTTTAATCTTCAACTAGCATGGTGGCCCGCGCAGATTGCGCGGCTAGCACATTATATTTTCTCTCATATAATAGCATATATGTTTTCTCATTATATTATTCAAATATATTAAAATGATAACATAATTTCAAATTTTACAATAACTTTACAAAACTACTAATGTGTAATATTTATATTGTATTTTATATACGTGTTAGTTATTAATTATTTTTAATATCAAATTTTAGTCATTTGTAAATTATATATATTCCTATATAGACTCTAGATCCATCTTTTAATATTTATTTTTTTTAATTCCGAATTTTCTATAAATTGTATTTCTATATAGACTCTATGCTCTTCTTCCAATATTATTTATTTTTATTTCTGAATTTTTATTATTACTAATTGTATTTCTATGTGGACTCTAAACTCATATTTCAATATTCTTTAATTTTTAATTTCGAATTTCAATTACTTCTAAATTGTATTCCTATATTGACTTTAAACTTTTCTTCCCATGTTTTTCTTAATTTTGAATTTTAATTATTTGTAAATTGTATTTTTATAATGACTCTAAACTCTACTTTTAATTTTATTATGTTTATTCCAAATTTTAGTTAGTTTTAAATTCCTATATAGACTCTATACTCTACTTCTAATATTCCTTATTTTTTAATTCCGAATTTCTATTTTTTTTCTTAATTATATTTCTATATGGACTCTATACTCTACTTTTAATATTCCTTATTTTTAATTCCACATTTCTATTATTTCCTAATTGTATTTTTATATGGACTCTATACTCTACTTCTAATATTCCTTATTTTTAATTCCGAATTTCAGTTATTTCCTAATTGTATTTCTATATGGACTCTAGTCTCCTCTTCTAATATTCCTTATTTTTAATTCCGAAATTTCAACTATTTCTAAATTGTATTTCTGTATGGACTCTGCTTTTTCTTTTTCTCCGATTAATGTGAGAATTTCTTGGCTATGAGAGCGAACGTGGAGGCTTATTTTTCTATTTCTTTAATAATATAATAGATTTACCGTGTCCCAGTTGCTTCGATTCGACATCTGATAAATCAAGTCCTTTAACTTTGCCGCCGCGATGGATGTGTGCTCGAGATCGCCAAATGTGACTTGGCCTTTTGGTACATAGGGTCTTGTTTACTGAATTACTCCCTAAGTTCCTAAATATTTGATACATTTGATTCTTTTAAACATGTTTAACCGTTTATCTTATTCAAAAACTTTTATGAAATATGTAAAACTATATATATATATATATATAAGTATATTTAACAATGAATCAAATTATAGGAAAAAAATTAATAATTATTTATTTTTTTAATAAGACGAACGATTAAACATGTTTAAAATGGTTAAGGGTGTCAATATTTAAGTACAGAAGGAGTATTTAACCGTTGTATGTGTATGCGTTGTGGTGACAAGTATATATGCTATATTCACGAATGGTTGAAATCGTATATAAAACATGTTTGAAAATGGTGTATTGAATCCATAGTGGCTCCACATTGGCATGTGGAAGAGGGTCAACGACCGTTTGGACGTACCAGTGATGGACACCAAACTAAATTAGGAGACTAGTTCTGTATTTTAGGAGTAAATGCACCCAAGTGAACAATTTAAGGTGCTAATTATATAATTGTGACTACGGAGTGTCTGTACAAACGAATAAGCTATGATGAGAAACCAGCTATGCACTTTAATCTTTTATGGAAAAAAGACATAAATATTAAGGAATGATCTAATATCAAATAATTAGGGCACCCGTAATAATTATCTATAGGCTCTCTGCAAGAGATCATTGTCAGCAAATTTTCTTACTTGGAAGAGATTAAATGAAGAGAGAGACCAAAGCTATCTACTAACCTAGAGATAGTCTATAGAGAAAAACGAGGCAATGGATTAGAGAGCTATAGATACCCATATAGACATACTATTGAGGTGGTTTACTATTAATCTAGTCTATTGTTGAGATGTACATATTTTATAGAGAACACATTACTTTACCATTGCAGGTGCTCTTAGAAGCAGTGAGGCTTCGACATCGTCTAGTATACCACCTTATGATGCTAGCCGGGAGATCTCTAGACGTTTATCTAAAAATTATCTTTTTTTTACAAACCTCCCGAATCTAAGCGACTATACCAAAGTGTCAATCACATTCGATTTTCTCCTGGCCTGTGTTTTAAATTCGGCATTTTCAACTTCTAAAGATGCATACTCCATCAATCAAACTAAAGCAACAAAAAGGGCAGTCCAAAGTTCAAACAGACGTACTCTCGCGTCTCGCCGGGATTCTCCTCTTCTCACGACGTCCATACATTCTTTTCCATCGCATTGCAGTTTTACCTCCACGGGCCTTTTGACACCTTTTTCCTCTCTTCTTTTATCACGTGTCGACCAACGGGCTACGTGTGTGCCATACAAGGAAAAAGAAGAAAAAAAATGTTCGATCGCGCCAAAAGAGAAGGGATAGATATGTGCACGCCTTTCCTCCACAAGCCCGATCGAACCAGACCAGTACGCCCACACTCCAAACCAGCAGCAACCCCGCGTATATACGTGCCGTGCCGCTACTTTGACAAAAGTGACACGCAACACCTGCATTGCCTAGCCACTACCTTACCTATACGAGCTATCCCCCTTGTCGATACCTCGCTGTACTGCATGCGCATGCATCCCCGTGTTTTTCCCCCCCGGCCGCGCGGGCGGCTAGCTCGTCCCCGTGCCGAAGCCGAGGCGCACGCATCCAAAACCGATCCCCCACCCCACCCGCACGAACGCCACGAGATGCGCATGCGCGGCGTCGCGGGGGCGCGTGAGATCGTCACGACGCGCGCGCGAGCGGGCGGCGGAGACACAAGGGCCACAAGGCGCCAGGCACCGATCGAGCCGGTTCGCGGCTTGGCTTTGGCTCCGCGCGCGGTCGCGGGCGCGCGAACGGACGCGCGTCGCGTTCGATATCTCTGTGGGTGAAAGGTGAATTGAAGCCGGATGCATATGGGCGTCACACACCTCCAGGGGGCGGGCTGTGTGGTGTGGCCCCCGGCCCCCGCGGCGCGCGTCCCTGTCTCGCGCTTCCTCTCTCTCCCCCCCTCCGCTCTGGATATGAGCTGTCATGGAAACCGATGCGGCCAGAAAACAAAAAAAAGGGCGAGAGGAAAAGGAGAGCTGAAACAAAAACCGCTAGGCGCACTCGCGTACGTGTACATGGGGCTTGCTGCTGCGTGGGCGCGTCCGTTGCTTGCTTGCATGCACGCATGCCGTGGCCGTAGCGCGATGAGCTGCGCGTACAGTGCACGTCCGGCGAGCGGCGGGTAGGTGCATGCGTGGCTGTGACCCACGTCACGGTATCATGCCACATCACCTTCGGTTTGTCCGGTCCGTGTAGCCTTGGGGCGGTGCGGCTAGCCATTTGACAAGAAAACCAAAACCACTTCTCGTTTCCTCGATCACCATACGCGTACAAATACAAATTCAGGTAGAGTAGTATACTGTACGTCTACACCTCTCTGCATAGAGTACTCTTTTCCTTGCCTTAGAAAAAGGGGAAAATCTATCTGCGAGGCTGCAAACGCCCCCCTGGCCAGCAGCCTCTCTCTGTGTATATAAATGCCCTACCACACCTCCCTGATCCCCAAATGTCTCTCCGGCCCCTCTGAATCCATCCTTAAAGACTAAACCCTCCATAAGCCTCCTCTCTCTCTTTCTTCCAGGAGACAGGTGACAAGGGGGATAGATACACAACGATACTCCGCAGCGCAGGAGGAGGACACATCCTTGATTTCTGCCATCGGAGGAGCTCCTGCCTCGGAGATACACGAAGCTGCTACATCTTCTTCCAGCTCAATCGTATCGACGCTTGCATCTCTTTTGCTCAGAGTGATCGTCGTTTTTCACAGCTTGGTAAGATCACTTCACTCTTCTCCCTAGCTTCGGTATTGATCGATCTTCCTCTCGCTGTGCCTGCAGCAAATGTCTTTAAGCTCATGTAATCCGTGCCATCTATCACCTGTGTGTTCATACTGTGTCACTATCAGTAAGCCGGATGCATGTTAGGCTGTTGACCTGTTGTTAGCTGCACCGGCTAACTGTAGTGAGCAGTGACCTTAATTTCTTTTGCACTACATAGACTGCTTGTTCTTTTCTTCTTGAGAGAGAGAGAGAGAGAGAGAGAGAGGGAGGGAGGGAGGGCCATAGCATAAGCCATGGAGGAGGAGGTGGAGTATGGAGTATGCATGGTGTTCGTCCGTACGTACGTGTCAGCGAGCGAGAGCCTCGGTTGGCGCACGTCGTCCTTTCTGTATAGCTGGCTCCTGGTTGTGTTTGATCGATCGTCTAGCTAACGTCGGAGACCAGATTAATTAGACATGACCTGACGTGCTTAATTAAGCTCTCCAGAAATGATTAATTAGCTACCAAGTGGTCGTTGTGGCTGTGCTGCTGCTGCCGCTGCTGATTGCGTCGCGACGAGGGTACTGATGCTAGCGTCGCCATGGTTAAAACTTAACTACGCTTAAATTGCAGCCTGATAAAAGATCGATACTACGGGTCAGGTGGCAGCTATCCGTCAGGGTTTCAGTCTGAAGCGGTTTAGGTGAAGAGCTGGAGAAGGAGTAAATGCATGTGTGTGTTGCTGATGAGAATGAGATCGCTCGGCTGCCGGTGCTTGGAAAACCACCCGCCCGGCCGACGCGTGCATGCCGCTGCTAGTTGACAAATTCCTCAATCACACGCCCCCCGCCACCACCACCACCACCACCAGCATGCATGCATCACCAAAACAGACGAGCGTTTTGTCCTTTTTTTCCAGAGCTTTTGTTCCACACCTCTCCCATTTCTTCAGATAGGAAAAATTTAAAGAAATATAAGCTGGTGCATGTATATCCTAAGTGGTGTTTGGTTGGAGGGACTAAAGTAGGGCTAAACTTTAACCCCTTTCTCGAAAACATAAGTTATAGGGGCTAAAGTTTAGCCCATCTCTCCCAAACACCCCCCTAGTACTGCAGTACATGGTTCATGCAGGCTCAAAGTGAGAAAAAAAATATTAGAAAGAAACAAACTGGATTCAGATGCAGGCAGATGGAACACCTAGAGTAACAAAACAAGTAATTAAGCTGGCTTGTATCACTTAAAAGGACAATTAGGTTTCCGTTAATACTTCCAAAAAGGAGTGATAGCTATAGCTATTAGCTAATCTGTCATGACTATTAGCTACCAGTAAGCGGTGCAGCTGGACGACCTCTTCCTCTAGTACAACGTAGTCAATGAACCTGTTGTCTGAATCCCCGGAGTGGTGCACAAATGGAAGGAAGCAGGCACACTAATGTCGCTTGCTAGCTAGCCTGAACGATAGCTGGCACCTTGTTGTCTTCTCCACCAAAGGATGGGACCCCCCAACTGCTGAGATGTGATGACAAGGAGTACTCCTATGTGGTTGTTCATCATCACAAGCCACGAGACACACACACATACACATCATGCTGCACTGTAGTGTGATAGATTACGGGTCACGTTTGTATAACTCCTGTACAATAAGCTTTGCTACTTTACACATGTTAGCCTTCCTTTTATTCTTCATACAGGAAAACATGAACTTGTTTGATGCTTCCTTCGGTTCCGTATTTCCTATCGTTGAAGTGTTTTATAGGTTGGATCAAATTTTTTGTATGTGTGAGAGATTAGTGAACGCTTCAGAGGAGTTTACCCCTGTAGTTAGTGTAATTGTGGTTTTCAACGTGAGAAAAAATGTTGAGTTCAAATGTATTTAATATCGGTAGAACCATAAATAGACGTCCTATTAATTACTCCTTGGTAAATGTCATTACGTTCAAAACGACAAAAAATATAGAACTGGAGGGAGTATATGTTCGAATTCATAGTTAAAAATTGGTTTTTTCTGGAACGGAATGGCTTTGGAAGTGCTAACTAGCGGCTCACCCTGTTCCTTGCAAGTAGTAGCATCCTGCGGGTGTAAATATGTCTCACAAGTCACAAAAGATTTCCCGGCGACGGTAAACGGTGGGGCGCTTATAAGTTATAACGTCCTGGGAACTATAGACAATAGATATAGATCATGCTAGTTATATATACTAGGTGAAATAAACCGAGTACATGACATGGTTAGAAACCACAGTAACCTATTAGCTTCTTTTTAGAGCACATGGAATAGCCAGTATATTTTCATAGGGCTAGCTTTTCTAATAAGGTGGCTTGTTGTCTTGTTGAGTGATTTTACCTGGTTCCTTTTTCTTTATCACACCCTGTGCTTGATATGCACAATGTTCAGAGCCCCACAGGACACAAAGTGTCTGAAACCATTTGCTCCTGAGATGTCCTACAAGTGTATGGAAGCCAGTAGCGACACGTTTCTAATGTTGAATCGGTGATAGATAAAGGGTTCCATTATATTATTACTTTGACCCAATAGTTTATTTAATAATTTTAGCTCAACTGGGGAATACAAGTCACGTAACCTTGGATATTTAAGGAACCAATATAAATATATATATATATATATATATATATATATATATATATATATATATACACATACATTTGCCCTATGCTCCCTATCATATTCCGGTCGCTTCTAATCAATTGGTCTGCCTTGCCAGGAACCTTCGGATAAGTCCCAACTGGCAGCATTGCAAACGAACAAACTTGTCAATTAGCAACTGAACAGTTGAACAGTATTTAAATTGATGGAGGATAGCACATCTCCTTGAGAGTAAAGAACGGCAGCCAGGGAATACTAGGCCACCAGACAGAGAATACTAGGGACCTAATCAAGAGGAATTTTAATTCTTTCCCTATTTGGGATAATTTTCTAGAACATAGTTTCTGCAGGAAGAAAAAAGGGTTCTGAGACACATGATACCTTTGACTTTGTCTTGTCACATATCCTTCTATTATTGTTACCTGTGAGGCAGTTGAGTCCTTAGCTCATAAACTAAGTTTTGCTTGTCTAAGACCAGCCTCTGAACATAGTGATAGCCTGACAGTGATTTCCATGAAACCGACTCTGAACCAACCACTGCACTTGTAAAAAGTTTGCCTTTTTACCAGAGACTGGAGGATTCATAGTAGCAAACAAAGTAGAAGCAAGGTGAAGGTCACCTTACCTATACTTTCCTCCTGATTTTCAGCAGGAAAAAAAGGGCAAGAAAGACTGAGAGCAGCAGAAGAGGAAGATGATGATGACCGAGGTCGCCAATCACAGCAAAAGGAACCACAATGAAAGCTACTTCACCGGGAAAGCAGCAGTCACCAGCAGCTCGGAGGAGTTTGGGAGCATGACATCCAAGAAGCCGAGGAACACAAGCCCGAGAGACGCTCCCGTCTCCCCGAAGGTATGTTGCTCAAGTCTAATTTTCACACGTCTTTCCTGTTCTTTCATTTTTCTTGTGTGTTGTTCTGACTGAGGTTTCTTTGTTTGCAAATTGCAATTGATCAGGAGAAGAAGGATAAGATTGGTGAGAGAGTGGCTGCACTGCAGCAGCTAGTGTCACCATTTGGGAAGGTATTTACTATACATTTCTGCACTTGCTTCCTGTCTTCTCTCATCTTTGTGAATCAAACTCATGTTATAAAACTTAGAAGCCTGAGCTCATCTGGTTATGCAAACTCTCTCGCTTTGTGCAGACGGACACTGCTTCTGTTCTTCAGGAGGCCTCAGGGTACATCAAGTTTCTTCACCAGCAGCTCGAGGTACTTGTTCTCGATCACCGCACACTCATTTCTGTGATCTTTAAGCCTGCTTACCTTTCGTTTTCTGTGACTCAACTGAAACATTTTGCAGGTTCTTAGCTCCCCTTACATGCGTGCTCCTCCGGTGCCTGGCGCTGCGCCTGAGGTCAGCTACAGCTACCTACATCCTTCTACCTAAGTCATCATATATACTCTGAAAGTTTAACGAAAATTCGAAATGTTAAATTTTGGCTAGAAAAAGGAAAACTTTGTAGTAATCTTTGTATGTAACAAGCATGTCAATTGCTGTGATCCAGGATCCCGACCACTACAGCCTGAGGAACCGTGGCCTCTGCCTGGTTCCAGTGGACCAGACGCTGCAGCTGACGCAGAGCAACGGCGCCGACCTGTGGGCGCCGGCGAACACGACCAGGCGCAGGTGAACGGAGGAACCGGCCTGGAGGCTCGGGGGTCTAAGAGGCCTAGAGGAGGAGGGGAGCACTTTTGTCTGGGGGCGGTGTAGAGTTCCAACTTCCAAGTGTCTGACCCGATTCATCAAATCTCCTAACAAAGCAAAAACTAATAAGCAAACCGTGTTTCACTCTCGTCGGATCTCTTGCCTGTAATATAGTAGTAGCTGCAACCCTGCCTGCAGGTCGGTGTGAGACCGTGAGAGTGTGCTACTGATGAGTCTGTGTTAGCGCCGGACATATGTGTGTAATCATCATACATAGCGAGGTGATAGTACTAGACTACCTGATGTGCCCATATGTGATATGTAACTATGTGTCTCTTCAGTAACATGATAGTAGCAGCATGTTGCTGCTAGCAACCAAGTTCAATGTGATTGAGTACATCAGCCCTGCTGTAGTTTTTGTAAGAAGTGCTCAGTTTCTGCTAGAAGCAAGAAAAACTCCTGCATCCTGGAGCTAAGCAGTAGCACAGATGAAGCAAAAAACGGCATGAGCTTTATAGGTGGGCCAAATCTAAGCCCACAATAGGCGAGCCCATCTTGGTTGGGCTTACCATGAGAAGGTGTGGGCAGTTTGGGCTTTGCCTTGGGCTACTAGCAGTTCTCAACTTTTTTAATGGGAGCAGCAGTATATATCCAGTAGGTGAGCTGTTCAATTAGGCTGTTCAACTGGGGGGAGGCTAATGGGCGGGCGATCGTCCAGCGATCGGTTTGTCCCCCTCCCCCTATACTCCTCCCTTTTCTCCCCCTTCCTCCTCCCCTTTTTCTTTTTCTACTACAGTACACCATACAATTTTTTTTAAAACAAAAGTTAGAAAAATTTATGTATAGAAATACTATTTATAAAAAATTTGAATTCAAATTCAAATTTGAATCGGGTATGTAAACTTTTGACTTATAAACTTTGGATCTATAAACTTTAGGTGTATAGAAATACTATATATAGAAAATATTTGAATTCAAATTCAAATTTGAATCAGATAATAATTCAAATTCAAATTTGAATCGGGTATGTAAACTTTGACTTATAAACTTTGGATCTATAAACTTTAGATGTATAAACTTTTGTATAAAAATACTATATATAGAAAATATTTGAATTCAAATTTAAATTTGAATCGGATATATAAACTTTTGGTCTCTAAATTTTAAATGTGTAAACTTGAGGTGTATAAACTTTAGGTGTATAAATTTACTAAAATAGAAAAATAATGCGGTGTCAAAAAAGAAAACCAGTGGAGGGGGGAGGGGATGGATCGCTGCCCCATCCCCAGAGTGATCGATCGCCGAACAGCATTTTCGTGTTCAACTGGCTCTTAGCACGTTTGTGTTTGGGGCAATTTTGGTACGGGTGCACTGTGTTGTGCCCAATTTAATGGAGGCGGGCCATGCGTTATGTTTATGGCCTCTGTACTGTTGTTGTAGGGGCGTGAAGCAAGCAACGGAGGCCACAATTTTGATCAGCTGGGCCCCGGGTAACAGCGACTGTTCACAATTTTGAGTCATGGAAGCTCCTGGCAGAAACGCACTGATTATGCATTTATGATTGTTTTTTCGTTATATTTTTCGGCTCTATCATGGTTCCTGATGGCCGTCCATCATGAATCTATATAGATTTTGAGCTGAGAGGCTCAAAACTTGAAGTTCTAAGGTGGGGCAAGGTGAATTATTTGAGAACAATCTCGACAGAATTTGGTGTGTTATCATTGTGTTTTTCAACTCCACTTAATCGAATAATGGTTGCAGAGCTGTCATTCTTCCTTCCATAAAAAATGTTTGAAAGTAGAAACAGTACTCTCATTTTTCCATGGCTCTCGACTTGTTGGGTCCAAAATCCAAATTACGTTACAGCCTGTTCCGACTGGGGCACTGGACGTTTGCGAGTCATGCGAGACGTACAGCGTCTGAACCGTCAGCTTCTGTTCATCAATGCGGCAAGAATGGTAGGCTGGTGGCCATGCCAACTTGCCCACCACAGAGAAAGTTCCCCCCGTAATATCGGTCCGGTCCCACAAAACCAACCCCCGTGTTGGTGTTTAGATTGACGGGCATAAAGTTTTAACTTGTCACATCAGATATTATATAAGGTGTCACGTAGGTATTTGTCACTAATAAAAAACTATTATAGAATCCATTAGTAAAACCGCGAGATAAATTTATTAAACCTAATTAATTTGTCATTAGTAAATATTTATTATAGCACTACATTGTCAAATCATGGAGCAATTAGGCTTAAAAATTCGTCTCGCAAATTAGTCATAATTTGTGCAATTAATTATTTTTTAGCCTAATTTAATATTTCATACAAATGTTCTAGCATTCGATGTGGCAGGGTATAAAATTTTTTTTTGCGCGGGACCAAGACAGGACCTAAGATAATTCAACCCCAGTGTGAGTCAACAGTACACACGAGAACGGAGGGTTATGACTCACGAGGCGATGAACCTGGCCTCCCTCCTTCGCTGTACACCTGCCATTCTGGAGGGGGCAGCATTGCCAGCATCCATTCGCCTTGCCTGTCCACGTTCTGTTGTGATGCTAGTATGCTACTACCCCTCTGCACAAGCGTAGTACATCTACATGTGGCAGCGACGTCTCAGGTCGGCCTCCTCTCTGGCTGGCTCTCCTTGGCGTCGTAAAATATCGCGGTGCCGAAGTGTGGCTGGCGTGCGATCTTTGCTGCAAAGGAGACGCGTGTGCATGCGAGCTCAGGGCGACAGTGCGAGTTCGTCGTGAAATATCGGTGTTCGATACTTCCAGTACTCCATCACCCGCGCACCGCGCGCGCCACCGGAGAAGTGCGCTCCACGACAAGATACATGCGCGCTAATCCCGTACTGTATGTGGACTATGGTGCTTTCGTACAGGCATATGACGAGATGCAAATTAGGCAGCGCCATTAATGATCAGTAGTCTTTTCTGACGCAAGTTCTGTGGAGGTGAGAGGTGATCAATAGTCGTGCTATCTATTAGTGCTCGTACCTGCTAACCAGATAATATTCCGTGCAATTCGACGTGGAGCTAGAATTTTAAACTAAACCAAAATTAACACATACGACAAAATTTTTTTTTTGTTAGAATAAATAGGCTAGACCCAATTTTTCTATTAAAATCTCAAGGGCCATAAAAAATGTTAAATATAATAATACCACTCTGGGAATTAAAAGTGGAGTATCTCAACTTAAATAGGGAGTTATTGGAGGCTCTTGTTGACAGGTTGAGGTGGGGATCGGAAAGCCACACGCGCGCGCTCTGTGTCTCTCTCTCGAGATCCTTTTGCAACGGTTAAGAATTCGTAACGGGCAAGATCTCTCACGCATTCTTCCCATCGCTGGTAGAGACCTCCGATTAGATCTCTCACACATTCTTCCCACTCGAGATCCTTTTACAACGGTTAAGAATTCGTAACGGGCAAGATCTCTCACGCATTCTTCCCACTCGAGATCCTTTTGCAACGGTTAAGAATTCGTAACGGGCAAGATCTCTCACGCATTCTTCCCATCGCTGGTAGAGACCTCCGATCAGATCTCTCTTCCATTGTGTGCCTGTGTTGTTTCTGTTCTCCCCGGTTCTGATCACTTGAGCGCACGAGTGATTGGGACGAGCAGGGCCTCCGAAACCACACCTTCGCGCACGAGTGATTGGGATGAGCAGGGCCTCCGAAACCACACCTTCGCCTGAGATCTGCACCAGGTAGGCAAGTGATCAGGTTTTTGGGGAGTGCTACCGTATGACTGCTCCTCTTTCTTCCTCATTGTCGTTCTGTTCGATCTGCATCGCGATGTCTACTGGTGGCGGCGTCAACGGAGGAGCACCAGGAGCAAGAGACGCACCGATCGACAACACCAACGGAGGCAATTCTGCCTTACAATCCAGCGGAGGGACTTTTACAGGGTATAATATCCTTCTGCTACCTTTGATTTTGTTACATCTGTCAGTCGCAATGTTATTGCGTTGTCTCAATGATGTTGATGCTTATTTTATCTTAAGCATGCTCCTAGTTATGTTTAGTTTTATCACTAGATCACCACACATTGTTCATGTCATGTTTATTGTCTTAATATTTTGGATTAAAATATGCCGATATATGACCATATTTCCAACAATTTTGACTACTTATACACCGCCGCTGCCACCACCCCTACCTCCTTCCCTCCTCCGCCTCGCCGCTGTCCGAGCAGGCTGCCGGGAATCACAAGGACAGCGGTGGCAGGGTCTTCCTTTTTTTTTCCTAAGGCCACGGGGGTCGGAGCCCATGATCTCGACTGGGTCCAGGGCAGCGACGGCCATAGTAGAGTGGCACTGGGCTGGAGCTGACTGCGGGCGGGGGAGAGTAGAGTGGCCACGTCGATAGCGAGATGGTGTTGACCGGGGCAACGACGGCGCGACGCCACCAGATCTGGCATCCCTTGCTAGATCCAGCCCCTTCTCGTCCGAATCCGGCCTCATCGGTGCGAGAGGCCGGCTCCCGAGTTGGTGGCGGTGATCAAGTAACGGGGTGCGTGTAGGTAACAGGGTGAGGTAGGAAGGGCGCGGCAGCGGGCACGCCCATGTGATGCCGGAGGCGGGAGGAAGGTGGATGCGGCGGCGGGGATGGGAGGAAGAAGGGCGCCAACTGGGAGCAGAGCATCTTCTCTGCTGATGGAGTGGCTACTCCCAGCTGAGGGCTGGCGCCGCACAAAGGCATTTGGCCAACGGGGGTAGGCCCGCGCAACGCGAGAGGAGACACGCCCGACGACGACGAGAATGTGGGAGGCCGACGTGATGAGCGAGCGGCGGCGGCGGGAATGTGGGAGAACGGCAGGGAGGTTACCCCTGTTGATGGTGTGGGAGGTCGATGCTGTGGCGGCAGGAAGGCTAGGGACATCATGCGTGCCACGTTTCACGTGAAGGCACGCGGAGGCTGGTCGCTGGGGGAGGGCTAGTACAATGGTATCCATGTGTTGACGGAGGTTGTCCGGTGGTAGAGCATGGAGCGTTAGCTGTGGATCGACAGGGGGTGAGTAGCAGGTGTAAAACCTAGCTCGGCCTTGTTGTGCAAACAACGACGACATTTTGGGCTTCGTTTTCCCTATTGGGGGCACTGTCGAGCCATCCCTCTCTCTCTAGTGGGGCTGTCGGGTGAAAGCCCTATCTTGATCCTCCGAGACCTCGACGGACAGCAACGTCGGTGCCTATCATCGCTGTTTTCCCTGAAGATATCGTCTACGAGGCCCCTTTGCCAAAGCCCAACTCCACCCCCGTAGTACAATTTTGGGTAGCAACTTTGCTAATTCCACTCCAGAAAATAGAGAATACGTATCGTTTGGCACGACTCAAGCTCTAGAAGTTTAAAGTTAGAGCTAGCTGTGCCAAACGGACCCTTAAACTGGTTTACCACGTATCGTAAAGATGCTAATAGTAATTTTATCCCAAAGAACATATCAAATTCTTCATATGGGCTAGACAGCAAGAGGGTTGAGATACTGGCGGTACAAGCTTAGGAAATGGGCGGACTCTAAGGTAGACATTGGGACAACTCCCATCTCACACTATTTGAGGCCGTTTTCATTTTCGCTACTTTTCATTTTCAAAGAAAATCTTTTGAACCTGTTTCAGATTCCAATCTAACATTGTCTATTTCCCATCATCGAGATCGATTGCAAACTATCCAAACCGTTTTCACTGCAGAGTGAGTTTTCAACGCACCCTCTTTACAAAAGCGGCTGTGTTACTGTTTATAGTCTTGCAACTGTACGCACTACGCACACGACTTTCCTCCGCACGGGCGATTGCACAGCCAGTACGTACAACCCCATCCAAAGTGAAGCGAAAAATCGCCTCGTATCACATGCAGTGCGCGTTCTCGTTCTCACGCTACTTGCAGGTTGCAAGTGGCCAGAGTTTCCTCGTCGTCCAATACCCCGGAGATTTTCCCATCTCCCGCGGGCCCCGCCGAGCTCCCGTCCACCACTCGCTCGCTCGAAAGACCAAATCAATTTCCGCTCGCCTCGCGCTGCCATCGCCAGAGAATCCGTAGGAGATACAGATACTCCCCCGGTGCTACCACGGCCCGATCGCTGTAGCCGCCAAGAAAAACCGGAAGGCCTCCGTCTCGTCTCCATCACACAAACCGCCGCGCGGCCCCACACCCCCCCAACCGTGCGCCCGTGCAGCCTAGCCATCCGGTGTCCGGTCGGGCGTGACGCACGTTGCGCCTTTTATACGCGCCAGTCACGCCGCCGCTCGTCCCGTTTCACTCATCCGCCGCTGAGCTCTATCTATCTACTAGTTAGTTTAGTCGTCTCGAGGGTAAATTGAGCTTTGTGTGCGGTTTTGAGGGGAGTACATCGGCATGAGGATCCAGTGCGACGCGTGCGAGGCCGCGGCGGCCACGGTGGTGTGCTGCGCGGACGAGGCGGCGCTGTGCGCGCGCTGCGACGTCGAGATCCACGCCGCCAACAAGCTCGCCAGCAAGCACCAGCGCCTCCCGCTCGACGCCGCGCTCCCCGCCGCCCTCCCGCGCTGCGACGTCTGCCAGGTAACGTACTCCTACGCGCGCGTGTAGTAGCAATAGCAGAGTAGAGAAGCTGCAGCAGCATGTGGCTGGGAGAGTGGAGACGTGTCGCTGAGGCACTGGTCGTACGTGTTGTCGTCGTTGTTGCTGCAGGAGAAGGCGGCGTTCATCTTCTGCGTGGAGGACAGGGCGCTCTTCTGCCGGGACTGCGACGAGCCCATCCACGTCCCGGGGACGCTCTCCGGCAACCACCAGCGCTACCTCACCACCGGCATCCGCGTCGGGTTCAGCTCCGTCTGTAGCGCCAACGCCGACCACCTCCCGCCGCCAGCGCCCAAGGGGAACTCCAAGCCGCCGGCAAGCGGCATCGCTGCTGCTGCTGCTCCCAAGCCGGCCGTGTCCGCGGCGGCGCAGGAGGTGCCGTCGTCACCGTTCTTGCCGCCGTCGGGCTGGGCCGTCGAGGATCTCCTGCAGCTCTCCGACTACGAGTCCAGCGACAAGGCAAGGACCTAACTAACAAAACCATTCTTGATAACAAGATTAGCTTAGAAATCAAGAATTGCCTTACTTGACCGTGTGTGTGCTTGCTGTTGCAGAAGGGCTCTCCTATTGGGTTCAAGGATCTGGAGTGGCTCGATGACATCGACCTGTTCCATGTCCAGTCGCCGGCCAAGGGAGGCAGCACGGCGGCGGAGGTGCCTGAGCTCTTCGCCTCGCCGCAGCCAGCGAGCAACATGGGGCTCTACAAGGCGAGCGGTGCACGCCAAAGCAAGAAGCCACGGGTGGAGATACCCGATGACGACGAGGACTTCTTCATCGTTCCTGATCTTGGATGAGATGTTGTTATGTAACAGTAATGCTATGCAAGTGATGTAATTTTGTATGTATGCAAAGAACACTGCCATCTCGGTTGTACTAAGTGTGCTAAGTACATCTTACTGTGGGCGTATGTAATTGTAAGACAATTTGGGCCCAATACTTATCAGCATGGTGTTGGGCATGAACTATGATGTACTATGACATGACGAAAGTTTGCTTGCAGCGTGTGTTCTGTTCGTAGATTATTGTTGCATATGTTCTGTTCATAGAATTTTTCTGTCAGATGCTTACCAGTGATGTGGAGAATATCATTCATAATACTTAATAACTACCTGGGCGTCCTAAGATAGATGAAAACACTGAGCAGTACCGACTTAAAATTGGAACATGACCCCTAATTGAATATGAATAGTAGAACACAATATTCGTTCAGGAGACCTGAAAATTTCATCCTTACATTCCTTGGCTCCGGGAACAGGTTACAGCGAACATATCTGTGATCTATGACTATGAACTGAAACCTTTGGTAAATATGAGGCTCAAAATAGAGTTAGAAGATCAACACAACAGACCTGAACATTCCTTGGCTCGGTGCAATTATTTTATCCAGGAACAGGTTACAGCGAGCATATCTGCGATCCATGACTATGAACTGAAACCTCTGGTAAACATGAGGCTAGACTAGATCAACAAAACAGACATGCACGGTTGAACTTGATGAAGTGAAAAAACAAAGGATCATCACTGGCCCACAATGCAGATTACCTCGCCGTATACCATTTACTGAAAACCACCACACTTTCTTATAAATCATAACATGGCTACCCTAAACAACTGAGAAACGGAATGGTGTTTCAGGGAACATGAGAGCAAACGCCAGAACCTCCCAAACCGGTTGCAGTACTTCAGGTTAAATAGCTCACTAAATCCCAGCAAGATTATGAAATACCAAATCCTCTCCGCTCTCAGCAGCATCTGTGAATTAATACATGACTTTCCACTTTGTTACCGATATATCTCAGATCTTCTTTCAAGATGCTTGTGCTGCATATAAATGCTTTTTGGCAGTGCACATTAGATGTCGTGAACACTGTGTACAAATTCCCAACTGTCACCTTTTCTTCAGCAATGAACTAGCTCTCAAGAAGATTTTATCAATCTCATCAAGCTCGGATACTTTGAGTTCTTTAGCAGATGAATCGGTCCTATCAGAAAGGGAAGCAATCTTTCGTAGATGCTCTTCGAAATCATCTGGTTCATTGTCATTATTTTCTGAGGGAAACTTATCCAGCTTATCTAGATACAACGGTTGCTCCTTGCTTTCCTGTACCTGCTCCTCCTCTGAGTCCGTCTCAAAAATGTCAGAGAGATCCTCGGATTCAGAGTATGTGATAGACTCTGAAGCCGAATCAGCACTAACCTCATAATTTTCATCCTCTAGCCTTCCAGACCCTTCTATACTTTCTGACAGGAGATCAGATACACTTCTCTTGCGAACTGAGCAAGAAGAATATTCTTTCGCAGATGTACTGTTTACACTATCTGAAATACAAGTAATATCTTCCGCTGCATTCTGTCCTTTATAATCTCTAGCTAACTTCATCTGTGCATGAAGATCTACAAGCTCCTGCTCAAGCCTGGGAATGTACCGCCTAAGAGCTCGGAGGCGTTCTCTGTATTTTGATTTATCCAGTGCCTGATTGGAAATTTTAAAATTATAAATGATGAGAAGACACAACATGACAACTGTTTCTACTCGTTTTGCATAGATTATCTGCCCTACACTCCACCTGAATAAAGTTGTTGCATGTGTCTTTCAATCCTAAGTTCTAGATCCCAAATGAGGAACACTATATGGAAAACTTACTGAAGCACCTTCCACTAATTAAGAAGGATTTTACTGTGGCTAGTAGTTCTTGGAACATCTGTTTACTAATTTGTTTTTAGCCATTTTTCCAACCTTGCTTCATAGTTCATATCATATGCTAAAGATTTCAATATATTAATTATTGCACCATAAAAGTAGAAAGAAAGCATACCTTTTTTCTAGGAAGTGTAACTTTTGGAGACATTATTTCAGGTGGTGGCTGTGCATAGTTTTTTCCTCTGTACATAATAATCGTATTCCCTTCTTGAATATCCAGCACAATTCCACCACTTAGTCTGGCTAACTCTGAGGCAATTTCCTTAACCTCGTCTGGTGTGAATGTCTTCACAATTACCTGTAGCGTTTGGTGCTTTTTCCAGTGCAAATGCATGTTCAGGATCACTCCCTGATATATTCCACGTCTTCCTACAGGCACATAATTTTTACTTTTTTGACCCATCTTGAGGAAATAGAAGTGCTCTTCAGGTGTAAGCACCTCAGGATCATGGGTAGGTTCTGATGGGTCATCCGGTTCAATCTTCGTCAAAGCTGCAACAAGTCGTTCTTCCTTGTTTCGAGCCTTTTAAGGGCCATTGCAAAAGGAAACAATGAAAGACCAATATGTTAGAGGAGTGAAGATTCCACAACAGAACCATAACAAAAACAAGCAAATATACTTTCATTGTAATGTGAACACTGGCACATAGATATTGTTGCAATGCATTGAGTATAGAAAAGACAATCAAAATCTAATTAGACTCTTCGGCATTGAAAATTTTCATCATGAGACTATACTCATGAACATAATGAATGATGATTAGCGGTGTGTGGCTTTGCTTCTCTGATATGCTAGCTTTCTGGGTGGGTTTTGCCTGTGTATGACAATGTTCTTGTTTTGTTTTCTATGGTCTGTGACCGTAAGCTGGAAAACCCAGCAAGAACTACAGTACTTGTTATGCTTTCTTCTAAAGCTGGGCGTAATGCCTTCCCTCTAAAAATAACTACTTCTGTCCACAATGAAGTTTGGGTATCCTTGTAATTCCCAACATGGCATGACATGGAAAGCAGTATTAAAAAAATACTCAAGGTCAAGTTAAATTTGAGTAGAAGTAACTCTTTTTGCATGAAAAAGAACTCAAATCAAATATATGAGCTACAAAACATATAAAGGCAATGGCAACAGAATTTACTAGCTTCAGTTTGTACAAAATCTTCTCCTCCGCAGTCATCCTTTGAAACTCCCTTTTCTTCTTCCATCTCAGGGATTTCAAAAATCTTGTCACTGCCCTCCTTCCTTTTAACTTTTTCCTCTTTGCTTTGGGCCTACCAGATTCATCAACCAGCGCAACATCTTCTTGTTTCTGCTGAGGTTCTGCTATGGTATGATTTTGACTATTGACTGGTCGGCTTGTATGGATACAGCAATATATTTGAAGGTTATAACTTTGCCACCCACTGAAGAACCCAACATCTCGGTGAAAAACCTTGTGGGAAGTATAACTACAACAGAATCAGAACTTTGAAAAACAAAAGAGCATATAGACTCAAACTGAACCACAATACGTTAAACCCCCCAAGTGTAAAAAGCATAATCATGAGAACAGTGAATTGTGCAAATGTTCCCGTTGCGGCATTTCATCAAACACTTGACAGTTTCAGCGAGCCACTAAAGTTTCATCAAATACCTGCAGGCCGACCTACAGCAGCAATGATTGGAAGCGCAAAACTCAGGTATCCAAATCCTCCTACCCCTGATACGCACTTAATACATTCCCATCGAGACCGCTGAATGTGAATCAGAGACAGAGGAAGGGGATCGATGGGTGTTTGTTTTCGTCTCTTACGATGGTGAGCACCGCCGAGGCGCGCGCAGCTCATGGGGAGGCGCCACGCTGGTAGAACCGGGGGAGGGATAAAGCGCCCGGGACATCGGCCGCCACCCCTTCTCCATCCTCCGGAGCAAGAGCACCCGGCTGCCCATGGCCCACGCCACCCGCGCGGCGCAGCGAGAGTCGGAGAAGGCGCGCAGCCGACGGGGGGGGGGCGAGGAGACCCACCGGCCTCCCTCCTCGGGGGTGGTGCGGTGGCCTCAGGCACGCCGTGCCGGCGTGGACGGCCGAGCAAGTGCGGCGGAGCCGCGGCGTGGGAGCAGCCTGCACTGCAGTCGCAGGGCGTCTCGCGTCGTCTCGCGTTTACATGGGCTGCTCTACCCACTGGGCCGTACAAAAACCGGCTGTGCGCGAGACTAAGTAGGCCGATTAACTGAGCCGCAGGAGTTGGGCCCTGATTTGATCGAGCAATGGACTCTCTCGCCGTGTGAGTTGTCAAGTGGACTATCTCAACTGGATTCAACTTGATATGTCATTTTTCAAAAAAAAAAAAAAAAAACTTGATATGTCATTGACTCATTGTCACCATACGATGTCCCCACCTGTGTTTGCCATTTGCCAAGTAGAGAGAGGACCGAGGAAAGACGGCGTTGGAATGGCTAAGATAGTAGATACCCTCGGTCGCACGTAACGACCAAGTGAAAAACGGAAAAAACCTGTCGTTCGTCGCCGCGTGGGTATCTGCAGCAGCAGTTTCGTGTTGACAATTAGACGAGGAAAAATTCCTACCCGAGACAAAAGGGAAAAACGGCCAATTAATAAGTCTTGACCTTGAACATGTAGTAAACGAAGAAGCTAACACCCGGACAAGGTCATACAACCTTGTAAATGCCTCAGCTGGATTAGGTCATTATAGCCAACTATTGACTCCAAATCATTTATAGTTAATTTAATAGCTAATTCATACACCAATTACATATATACATATAAACACAATTATGGTCCCACCTATCATATACACATGTATCTTGTAGTCCGTGCTACAGCTAGCTACAAATCTGTAGCCTGCTGCTCTTCTCTCTCTTTTCTTATCTTCTCGAAATATGTTTACAGCTGGCTTATAATTTGCTATTATATCTGCTCTTAGAATCAGCCATAACGGTCTTCTCCCATTTTACCCCGCAGTCTCACAGTCACACACAAAAAAAGTCCAACATTAGAGACGACCCAATCAGAAAGTAAACCGAGCTAGGTAGTGGCCGCCGGAGTGGTGTGGAAAGATTATTAAAGTCAGCTCAGCTGGCCCGTTTCTAGTTCAAAGTCACCGCTGACAACACAAGGTAATTAACCATCGGCCGCGATATGCCAATACGTAGTACGCCATCGATCAGTAATGTGGCGCACCATCCAACGGTTGTAAAAGCCACTCTCGTAGTCTCGTCCTCGCGCACGGGCTACGGATGCGCGGCTCGATCGCTTGGCGCGCGGCGCTCCCCTACGGCCGGGGACGTCCCGACGTGTACCCCCGTGGCGCGTGGACCGCGCGTAATAAGCCCCGTAAATTAAACGCGCGATCGATCGACCACATGCGCATGGCCGGCGCCGCGGCCGCGGGCATCGCGCGGTCCCCTCCCCGTCCGGCTCCGTGCCTCCTGCGGGTCGAGAGAGAAATATACGGGTGTGTCGGCCAGCCGCGCACGCACACGCACGGGCGGTGCGGCGGTGCCCCGTGCCCGTATGGTCGTATGGCCAGTACGTGGCCGTCCACCGCGAGCTGAGGCCACGTACGAGAGGGGGGTGTCGTACTGGCGTCTGGCGTCGTGTGGTAGCCGGACGGCTGCCTCTCCAGTCGGTGTGCTGTTGTTAGAGCAAGTTATAGCCAACTACTAACTCTAATTTATTTATAGTAGCTCATTCATACAATAGTTACATACTACACTATTAATATCTGGTCCCACTTATCATACACACACTGCATCTTGAAGTCCATACTACAGCTGGCTATAAATCTGTATGCTTTTCTCTCTTGTTATTTATCTTCTTAAAATATATTTTCAGCTGACTTATAGCCTACTATTTTACCTGCTCTTAGTTGTTACATACAGTACGCGCGCGCTCGATTGTCGGCCCAAGCCTCTGACGCTCCAAAGACGCATCGAAAACAGTTCTGTTGTTAATCCAAACGAGTTCTGCCTCAAGGCAGGTTCGTAATTATGATCGGTTTTTGCGAAAACCGTATGTTTTTTAAACCGTCAGATTCCGATTTGTAAAAGCCAATCGATTTTAGTTGATTTTGTTTAAGTTGATGTTAAGTTATATGTTTTATCGGTTTTTGCTTGGGTTTCGATAAAATCAAAATGGGTCAGTTTACATCTAAAAATAGAAATTGGTCTTATCGGTTGTCTCATATTGTCTAATGGCTTATTAGAGAATAAAAAATAATTTATAGGTAAAACTCTCTCTATATATATTCTTATTTTATAGCGACTTCAAAATTTAGGTTTAAAAATTTAAATTTTAACTTTGGCTTTGGTTTATTAGGGCAACCAATGAGACTTGTAACCATTGATATCAAATCCTGCTTGAAAGTTGGAAAATTCTGACAAGCATCTATTGAGTGATCAATTGGCGAGAATATAACATGTAAAAGTTGGTTTTCTCAACTTCTTCCTTCTAGTTTGTTTTCTTGGAAATATGGAGTGTTTAAGAAACCCGGAAATTTTACAGCTGCCAGCAGAAGCTCTTCAACCAGATCCTAAACTTATGATGAGGAGAAAGATTGGGTGAGCCAACGCTTTAGATTCATCTCTCAGCTGCAGTTTATGTTTTGAAGGGACGATTACTATACCAGTACTCCTTTGTCGTTTAGGAACAAACTACTGTTCATTGGTCCCGATTCTAAGCACTCCAAACATGCAAATCGACACCAAAAATTTGACAAAAGGTACACAAATAAGGATGCACTAGAATCGACAGAGAACAGTAGAAAATGATTTTGAGATGAACAGAGCCAGAAGTGCAGAATCCGGACCTTTCGTGGACTAGCAAGCAGGGGTACCCATGCGGCCATGCATGGAGAGGCAGAGCAGGTGCCAAAATGTTCACCTTTACAGTTTTACACGAGAAAAACCCTGAAAATTCAGGGAAAAACAGAATTTCTTACCAAGAAATTCTTGTACACTTAGTTAATTAGCAATCCCATCAATCTTAACGAACAAACCAAGAAATTTTTGGAGCATACGTGGGGTTACGTGATTTCCTTGAAGAAAGCCAGTATCTACACCTGATCTACCAGTATGAAGCAGAAGTGAAGAGATGGACGGATCAGCCGAGGGCGGCGAACCCGCCGCCGCGCATCATCTGGAGGAACTCGTGGAAGTCGACGCGGCCGTCGCCGTCGCGGTCGACCTGGCCGATCATGCGACGGCACTCCTCCGCCGTGCGGCCCTGCTTCAGCCCCAGCGACGCCAGCACGGCGCCGAGCTCGTCCACCGTGATGTACCCGTCGCCGTTGGCGTCGAACACCCGGAACGCCTCCCTCATGTCGCCGTCCTCCTCCTCCTCTTCCTCCTTGGCGCGGCCGTCCTTGCTGTCGTCCCCGCCGGCCATGATGGAGCGGTAGAGCTCCCCGAACTCCTCGACGTCCACGCACCCGTCGCCGTTGGCGTCGATGCGCGCGATCACGGCCGCCAGCTCGTCGGCCGGCACGGGGATCCCGAGCTTCCCCAGCGAGTCCTCCAGCTCCTCCCGCGTGATCCGCCCGTCGCCGTTCCTGTCGAACAGCTCGAACACGCGCGCCAGCTCCGCGGCGTCGGCCTGCTGCTGCTGCTTCTTCTTGCTCCCCGCTCCCGCTCCCGCTCCCGGCGGTGACATCTTCTTGGGAGGAGGAGGAGACGCTGGCGGCTCAGGCGGCATGGTTGTCGTCGTCGTCGAAGAAGCCTCGCAGGTGGAGGCGGCGCCGCGCGCGACTGGGAGGATGGAGGAGAGGTTGGCGGGGAGGTAGGAGAGGAGGCCGCGCGGGAGGAGTGGGAACTTAACGACCGGCGAGGCGGGCACCGTGGGGACCTGGCAACTCATGAGGTCGATCGCTTTGCTTCGCTGTGGTGTGGTGTGGTGGCGAGCAGATGGCCGCAACCTTTATCTTCAGCTAGCTTCCGCCAGTGACCATCAACCATGGCCGTATTTATAGCTAGCTATACGACCTTTCTCACTCTATTAGAGCAAGTTAAATAGTATAGCCAACGACCAGCTCCAATTCATCTACAGCCAATCTAATAGCTCATTTATACAATAGTTATATACTACAGTATTAATACTTAGTCCTACCTGTCATGCAAACACGGTGTCTTGGAGTCCGTGCTACAGCTGGCTACAAATTTATAGCCTGCTGTCCTTCTCTCTTCTCATTTATCTCATTAAAATATGTTTGTATCTGACTTATAGGCTGCTATTGTACCTACTCTTATACGGAGTACTACTACTTTTCTTGCTTTTTAACGGAAGGAGAGAATGGACGGACTTGTACTTCATGTCAAGGGAGACCTTTTCTTTTTTATTTCGATCTAACATGTCGAATTGACTTTTGAATAAAGTAGGTTTGTGTAATAGCATTAGGGATAGATATATCAAATTGAACAAAATGAAAATGCATTTGTTTGAAAGGATGCTGGATTGCTGGGTAGTGGAAAGCCAGGACGGTAGATGATCCAAAAAAAAATCATGTACAAATTAAAAGAGAGGGAGGGTTCAAAGGAGAAATTAGGGGACTTGGTGGCACGTTGAAATTCATTGACTTCACCTACAGGAAACAATTAATTAAGAGAAAGAAGTTATGCTTACTTGACTATTTCCATAGTGTAATTTGGTCAGGTTGTCTATATATCTATTCAGACTCATACTAAAAACATGCCGTCACGTATAAGCCATGAAATAGAAAGAAAGAAAAAGAGTGGGGAATGCACTCACAAATAGTCCAATTAGAAAGAATAGTTAATTTACACTCGATTTATTTAAAAATGGACATCTTGTCACGTCTGGTGCTCAAAAAAATTTTAAACCCTGCAAAACGTACTTGTATTAAGGAGTATGTAAAAAACTTTACATGTAAATAGTGAGGATTGTCTACGGTACTGCTAATGTAGTAGTAGACCCTATGCTGCAGAAGATGTGCATCGGCTTACAAAGCCTCGTAAAGAACAAAAGAAGAAACAAGAAAACAGCTCCAAAATGAAAAGCAAACATAATTTCTGAGCTCTTGCCGTCGTATTCATTCCGTTCTTAAATACTACATCCGTCTCAACCTCGTAATTGCATAGGTAGAAATAAGATCTTTTATGAGTACTCTACTAATAAGTTTATTATAAACTTTAACCGCTTATTTGTTAAACAGTTTTGTAAAAATATGTTTATATTTTGAAGTGTGTAGCGTCGATAATAAGTGGCGAATCTCGAATATAAATTGAGGTGGGGCTACAGTAAAAATATCAAATGACTAAAGCAACTTAGTTTTTATCAACTCAATATTGTTTCTAAGAAACCTATATGCATGTAATGAAAAGAAACATATTACTTAACAGATAACAAAATCTATGACCAAATTATGACCAAATTGGGGTGTATGGTGTACTTATTTCCATATTTGTAACTCTTGGCAAGCATGAAGGAGGTGTTTAGATTCAGGGGTGTAAAGTTTTAACGTGTCACATCGAGTATTATATAGGGTGTCGCATGGGGTGTTCGAACACTAATAAAAAAACTAATTACAATATCCGTCGGTAAACCGCGAGACGAATTTATTAAGCCTAATTAATCTGTCATTAACACATGTTTACTGTAGCATCATATTGTCAAATCATGAATCAATTATGCTTAAAAGATTTGTCTCGCAAAGTAGTCGCAATCTGTGCAATTCTTATTTTTTTAACTTATATTTAATACTTCAAGTAGGTGTTTAAACATTCGATGTGATATGGTGCAAAAATTTTAGGGTGACATCTAAACAGGCACGAAGTCATTAGTAGCCAACCAACCCGATCTGCCACTGTCGATAATATAAGCATACAATTTTCGTCGATTATGATATAATCATTCAAAAGTAACTTGTGTATAAAATGAAATGGTTATAGTTAACAGTGTCGGTTATTCGAGACCGAACGGAATACTTCCTCCTTCCTATTGAATAAGACGCGCACACATTTTAATACTTCCTCCATCCTAAAATATTTAACTCCATCCTAAAATATTTAACGCTGTTGACTTTTTAAAAAATATTTGACCGTTCGTCTTATTAAAAAATTTTAAGTAATTATTAATTCTTTTTCTATCATTTGATTTATTGTTAAATATACTTTATGTATAGATATAGTTTTACATATTTCACAAAAGTTTTTGAATAAGACGAACGGTCAAACATGTTTAAAAAAGTCAACGGCGTCAAACATTTAGGGAAGGAGAGAGTATTCAACTTTTTAAATATTTAACCAATAATTATTTTATTATAAAATAAATTTTATGCAATGAAAATAAATATCATTGGTTTGATATTTGAATTTAATTTTATATGGTTATGATTTTTTTGGCTACAAACATAAGGGGTTTTTTAAGTTGGCAAAAATTTTTGTCCATGCATGTGACATCGGATATACAGACTATTAAACGTAGTTTAATAACAAAAAAAAAATTACAGATTCCGCCAGAAAACTGCGAGACGAATTTATGAAGCCTAATTAATCCATCATTAGCAAATGTTTACTGTAGCACCACATTGTTAAATCATGGCGCAACTAGGCTTAAAAGATTTGTCTCGTAATTTCCTGGCGAAATGTGTAATTATTTTTTTCTACATTTAATACTCTATGTATGTGTTCAAATATCCGATGTGACAGCTTGAAAAATTTCGTTTGGGAACTAAACATGTCCTAAGTACATGAAAAATTTAAGTCCAAATTTAATTTAGTGAGATGTAGCAGGAGTATATATTTTGGCCTTGTTTAGTTCCCATTTCCCAAAAACTTTTTTCCAAAAACATCACATCCAATCTTTTGACACATGTACAGAGAATTAAATATAGATAAATTTAAAAACTAATTACATAGTTAGAGGGGAAATCGCTTGACGAATCTTTTAAGTCTAATTAGTCCATTATTAGTCATAAAATGCTACAGTAACCCACATGTGGTAATGACGGATTAATTAGGCTCAAAATATTCGTCTCGCGGTTTCCATACGAGTTATGAAATTAGTTTTTTCATTCGTGTCTGAAAACTCCTTCCAACATCCAGTCAAACGTCCGATGTAACACCTAAAAATTTTCTTTTCACGAAACGGGCCCTTTACGTTGATGTAAGTGAGGCCGTGTTAAGTTCCCCAAATTCCCAATTTTCCATCACATCACATCACATCAAAAACTTTACTACACATATAAACTACCAACTTTCTCCTAACTTCTTAATTTTTCCACCATCTAAATACAGCCTGAGAATCATAAAGATACTGATGGAAAAGGTGGCCCCTCACCATCATGTCGCACGCGACGCGTTTTTGCAGGTAGTTGGTTTGCACTCTTTAAATCCAAGCTACTACTAGGAGGATATAGTACAGCGAAAGAAAAAAGCAAAGAAAACAATAGGTCAACTGAAACCGCGTGGAGCATCGGCAGCTAAAAACTTTCATGGGACCGTTGGATCCGGATCTCGGTCGTCGATCGTCGCTGGCAATCCAGCCGTCCGGTCCGGCATCGACGGCCGTCGGCACGACAGGTGTGCGCGAATGCACAGGTAGCTGCACGTGGGGGCCGCACGTGCCGACAGGCTTGAAATTTCAGGACAGAGATGCAGTGCAGCTTGAGCTCCACCGGATTGCAGCTCATTTGTGGAAATGTGGCATGGCATTATTGGGACGACTTGAATTGAAAACCGTGGCACTCAGAGACTCAACTGGAACTGAGCTGTGGTGTACGTGCATGGATTGGGTAGATTAATCCCCGTGCTAAGAATCTCTGGGACATCTTGGATTAGAGAAGAGGGCAATTGATTCCCTCTTGAATGCCAGTTCATGTGCACAATGCAGGACAGGAGTAAAGAAGAGACAATGCCAGCTTAAATCAATGTGTTGTCAAGAGGTTTGACAAAAAAAAGTTCAAACTGAAGTGACCACCGTGCTGGCCTTTGCTAGTTTACTGCAACATGACAATTGACAACGTTGAAATCTTTCACTTCGGTCTAGACAATTAGGTAATGCTGCAATCATAAAAGGCAGTGAAAGACGATGAAATATGAGTCCTTGGACATGTGACAGGAATACTCTTATAAAACGGAAACATTGGGCACCCTGGCTCGCTCATCTGACAAACTTACGAGGAAGCAAAATTACAAATCCCTTGTTTTCCGCCAGATTGATTGCCTAGTTGCAAAATTGGCATCACCTATCTACAAAACTCAACTTTTGTCCTATACATGCTAGAGAACATACTGAACTATGTAGTATACATAGCAGGCTTTGTTGATAAAATTGAGAAGCAAAATTGAATATAGCAAAACTGGGTGAATTTGTTGCGTAGCGGTTTCGCTACCAACAGGGGGAAAAAGCTGTGCAGGTTACCACCGCCGCCGCCGCCACCACCACCGAGAGCTGCACAGGACTACAGGAGCACCTCCACAAGAGGACAGCCCAGATTACATCAAGCCACCAATCGCCTCACTGCCTTGAACCTTGAACCGAAGCCACGGTGCGTAATCTTGGTTCACAGAAGGGCAACCAAGACTGCACAAAGATAAAAATCACATCACTTTTCCGTATCACAAAAACAATCATGAAAAATGCTGGAACGATTCCACATGCTTCATGCTTGTACAGACTAGAGAGTGAGTTTTCACCTGGAAGTTTATATCTATAGCTACCTCAAATCTAACTTAGTTTTATAAAGAGAATGTAATTCCAGAATCCAAAGAGATTCTCAAGGAAGGGAGTTAAAGATTTGGCAAGTTTTGATTCTTTGCCAAAGCAAACCTGAAGTGAATAAAGAGCAGGCTGCCAATCAGCTCCAGATTGTAGGATTTTTGAATTGTAAACATATTGCATCAGATAAGAACTTTACAAGTTCCTCTCTTTTAACTTCCTTCTCCCTTTTTGCATCCAGATGTCGAACCTTAATAGAAGGAAAACACATA